TGGCTATGTGTGTGTATAATATTACTATGTATATATACTGCGCAGTGTTAATAACTTTTTAATAAACTCTCTCATCTGCCCGATGCAATATTATGTATCTACTTCTACTATAAGGTCCTCGGTGTGTATATATATATATATATACCTAACCTATGTTTGCAGTATTCGTGAGTATATAATGACATGACCGCAAAAGATAGGGTCAGTAAGAAGGAAACCGCGGTTTAGTGAGAAAGCCGGTTTGGAGGGTAAAAAAAATGTATCGACAAACAAACGAAACAAATGAGCGCATCGGTTTCGTTAAACAATTGGTCAGCGAACAATAATAGGCGGCGACTACGACGACAGAACAAATTGAGAGAAAAAAGTATAATATATAAATAATAATATATAATATACATAGAGTCGAACGAGGCCATCTGTGTGTCTGTGTGCTTCGACAACAACGACGACGACGACGAAAGGACAATGCGCGACACGTATTCGAGTATACGTGATCGTTTCGCCGGCCATTATAATACATATCATTATTATTGTCGCGGTGATTTTTTTCCTCATTATTATTATTACCACCTATTAATAAAAATATTCGAAAAAGAGCGAATCAAACGGAAGAGGTGATACAACGAGAATATAATGATAATAATAAAAAAAAAAACAGACAAAAAACGACAACGTATACTATCGTAGCAGAGGTGATAAAGGAGATCGAATCGTTTGTGGCCACACACACACACACGCACAATTGAACCCAATAATGATTGGACCAACGGGAAAATTCGCCGCCGGACAATTTGTTCTCGACCTGGGTCTATTCAAGCGACGACGGCGGCGGCAGCTGAGGCGACACTATTTATTTTATATTTTTCTTTTTTACTCGATGTAATGGATAGAAGAAAAAAAAGATACATAAATATAACAACGCAACAATAATATATCAAACATGCACCGGGTGACTGCGGGGTGATGACTTAGAAAGAATAATCGATTATGTATAGGAATTGACCGGTAAAGGTTAAACACAATGGGCCACACCGTGAAACGACGCAATGCCGGAGACGCGACCAAAACGTATAATATATAATATTATTATATTATTATTATGATAAAGTGGAGAGATCGACGACGTGATTTCGTGATGTTAATTTTTTCCCTGCACACTCGGCGCCCGTTCGTTAATAGTATATATTATTATTATTATCAAGCATTATTTCGAATAGAACAAAAAACGTGTACCCAGACAGCATCGTGTGTAACAATGTATCTATAGATTTGCCGAGAACCGTATAATGATATCCTCACAGTTTTCGCAACACAATTTTCGTATCACCCATCTTGGAAGTGTTACGTTAAAAAAAATACATATTATACGACCTAGTGCAATGGTACGTAAGCTCTGTATATAACGATGCGAATAATAATCATACCACTACAGCTGCTGCTGCTGCTGTTATAGAACGAGTAGAATATTTTATGAATAAAAAAAAAATACGGTGAGAAAAAACGTATAAATGGCGGTGGCGACGACGACGACTAATTAAAATTCCAGACAACAAGTAAATGTCAGTGGTACCTACAGGTACTATATACAATAACAATAACAACCACTGCAACACACAATTAAAACCCTGTCGATAACGATTTCCTCTCAGTCGTCATAATCCGATTCATTGTGTGCTATATTATTATTATTGAAGGCGGCGGCGGCCTACGCCAATCTGCTTATGTGTCCGGTTTCGATAAGATAATAATATTATAGGTACAATATTATATTCTAATAATTCGCTAGGCGTTTAAAATCGCTCACCTGACATAATATTATTCTATAAATGATAATTATTGTTAAACGATATGCGACCCGGAACTCGGGGGGTGGGGGCGAGCAACTATAATATTATGCCACTATATGGTTCTCAGGACTCCGCATGCAGCAGCGGTTCAAGACATTGTAGTAATTTTAGGTACTCGCTATACGAACTCTGGATATAAAATCACATACGTCCTGTTTTTTTAAAAAAGTTATTTGTGTTTCGTTTAGTGAAAAGTGCTCCATCACACCCGCTGTCGCTTTTTTGTGTAGAGAAATATACCTAAACTGAAATGCTACATCGTATCACTGAACTTTAGCAAAATAATTATATAATTATAATATATAAGAAACAGAATATGTTAAATGAAAAATAGACGGACAGGCAACATTTGGTGGGAGGGGGGGGGTGCTTTTAAAGGAAAATATGGTTCAGACGTGTGCGGACGCAGACATGTATAATAATAATATTATGTAGACAATACACATTTACTGTGCGAGTCGCGTGTTTTGAATTTTCAAACTGGCCACCTTACAATATTATAATGCCTTATTATACTACAGCATCATCATTGATCATATCGTACACATTTAAATCCGGCACTGTGGCAGTCCCTACATTTTTTTTCTTTAAAACGGCCGGCGGTATGCGTGTCACACCGAAATGTGTACACCAATTTGCCAAGCGTGAAAAACGAAAAGAATACCCAAACACTCACTCACACTCACACACTCACTCACGTCTGAGGAATTCTCGTGGATATATATATTATAATATTATTATTATCAACTCGTCCGTGATGCGTGCGTGTGCATATTGTGCCTTCACCGCCGCCGCCGCCGCCGGCCATCTGTCCTCGCGCCCCGAAAACGCGAGCTCCAAGAGTGTGTTGTTTTTTCGATCCGTCGCGGCGATATCGTTTTCATCGGAGACGAGACGAAGACCAGAGGATTACGCGTCGTTATTACTTATTACATACATATGTTTGGCCGAGTACGACCGAAGAGTGAAGACGACGACAAAACGCGTTTACCACCCCCTCGCGCCGGCTTAATATATTGCAGGTTACCCCCCACACATCATCGTCATCGGTCGGGCGTTGGTGTGTATCCATTATATGCCTATTATATTATTGCCGTCATTATAATGTGTGTATCGTGTCACTCGCGGATTGTCGAGTTCGAGTACCTACGATTGTCAAGAGGATGGATCTGGTCGTTTATGTACAGAAAAGACGCGTCTACCGCCGCTTCGCATTATGTATTTATATATCGCGGACGAAATGGAATAACACTCACACCTATGCCATTAGTACAACTGGTGGTAGTATTTCAGGGTAGTAAAAAGCATAGAGTATAGTGTGGAGGTACACAATATAATAGTGTGTCTGCTGTGTGCGTGCTCGAAAAGGCGTAAGAGGACATATGTTATTATTTTCGGTTTACGAGAAGACATCTGGTTTTTTTTTGTGCCTTATTATTTCGTGCCCCCCTCCCCCCCCCCGTGGGTACCTATTTAGCTTCAGTGTGTGCGCGGGTGTGTGTACGAGTGCGTGTTGAACACATTCCGAATTTCATGGTGTCCCGAACCCATTGCGCGCCGTCGATGTTTGTAAGTGTCGTGTCGGGGGTAGTTCGGCTTTTTTTCCCTTTTATTATTTTTCGCGTTGACACCGATACTGCACACTCACACTACAACGACACTACAACGGGGGCTACGACAGCCGGCTGTGGGTGCGAGTGTGGCCGTGTGGGTGGATGGGGGGGGGATTCGCGCCTAATGTGTGAACACAAAATCTCCGATGGTCTGCGCCATTCGGACCGTGAAACGTAAGAGGATCACACACGCGCGGTGACCAGAACTCGCGTTTGTGTCCCGCCGTTGTTGTCGCCGCCGCCTCCGCCGTCATCGTCCGTCGCTATTCTCATCGTTGTCATTACGTCGTCGTGTTTTTTTTCCCCGCACGTTATTACTATTATTATTATTGTTATTTTTTTTTCGCAGTTTCCAATCGTTTACCGTCTGTTGAACTTTCGACCGGTCCCTTTTTTGCCGCGACATCACTCAGGGATGGAAGCCTCCGCCGCCGCCGCCGCGGGGGTCAGAGTTATAAGGTGCAAAATTATGTGGGGGGAAAAAATTCGCATTTTTCCATCCGCGTGCACGAAACGGCCCCGATGGTCATTTCGCGCTTGTGTGTAACTAAATATAATATAAAATCTATATAGCACACACCCATAGGTATTAGGTACCTATCTACTGTTATTATATTATATATATGATTTTTTTTTTAACGACGCAAAAACTGCCATAGTTCCGGTCAAATTGTCACAGTATTTTCGAGAAATGCCTTTATATTATATAATATGTGTACATAAAAACGGTCGGCTTCATTGTTTATTCCACATTGTTACACTCTGCGGATAACGCAATAAAAACAAACTATGGAAATGCGACTGCCACATCCGGTGTACCTATATGTACTTATTGAAATTGCCAAAAGAAAAAAAATAACGTGGCGGTGGCTTGTCAAAACGTCTTTTCAATGATAAATCCGATTAAGCGTTTTGAATAAATCTTACGAGCAAAAAAAAAAAATCGAAATCGACCTGACAAAAATAAATTACAGATTTGATCCGACGGGCGAAAAAAAATCAAATTCTTCAGATAAAAAAAAGTAAATGCCGAAGAACGGACGCGTAATTAATTAAACAAGGGAGCGGGGAAAAAAAGAAGGATATTTTTCTTTGCGTTTATAACCTTATTAAATAATGAAGGGGCTTCATCTGCTAGGGGAATGGAAAGGAGAAGAGTTAATTTAAACCCGACACGAGAAACAAATGCGGACGTTTAATAACGAAAATATGTGTAAATGTTTCCATCTCTTGTTCGGATTCAGATTTTGCTGCTCTTTCCACCCCCGCGGGATAGGATATATTTTATTTTATTATTTTTCTTTTCTTTTTTTTAATTATAAGCCCCAATAACGATTTTTCTCCTCCAGACGTTGTATAGCACCCATCACCGGAAGCCTCCTCCACTCCGCCGAAACTGCCTGCATTATATACTTCGTACTTGGTATAATATATAGCACGAGAAAACTTCTTACCCGACTCGTGTTGTGGGTGTGTGTGTTTGTGTGTGTGCATGCAAATAAAATTATATAATAATATGATCCAAATCGTTGCCTACCTGTCAGTCGGCTTGTGCGACATCATGCACCTGCAAACAAGAAACCAAACATATAGTTTAACTAAAGTGTATAAATAATTGGTTAAAAAAAAAAAAATAGATAAAAAAAAAAAAAACAATATACAGGCAAACCCGAAATTCGATATAGTTTAACAGTGTTGCAGGTTGTTTAAAATATTGTTTTGGTAAAAAAAAGTTGGTTCTCTATTTACGTTCAGTTTTTCTTCCGACACACTTAGTTAAACTATATTGAATTTCTTGCGTGCACGTGTATTGTTATTATTATTTTACTAGTGGCGATGACGACGATAATATACTGAGTGCGTCTATAGGTACATGGGATAAGGGATGATAATATTATGGGATACTAGCGAATTAGGAAGTATCGACGACGTTTGCACATAATACATATATATACACACACATAATATTATTATATATATCACGCATATTATAACGGTCCCTGTTCGAAGTCACCGCGGGTCGTTAATCAAGTCCCCGAAATGACTAGGCGGATTTAGATCGCGCGACACCGGGACGTCAATAAAACGCAATAAACACCATTATTCTATTTGAAAAAAAAGAGAGGAAGGAATGAAAAAAAGTCGTATGAACAATAATAACATATATTATTCAATGGTGGGTAAAAATAAAAACGTAAAAAATAAAAAGTCACGGTTTACCGAATACTGTCAAGGTATATCATTGTGGAGTGGCAAAGGTCATGGGCGTCGAACGCCTATTAAAACAGAATGATATTATGTATATAGGGGAGAGCGAATATTGGTCTCAAAGGTCAGTGGCAGATGTGTGCGTATGGCAGTGCCGGCGACAATGAAACAAACTGGTGTAAAAAACCAAAAATAAAAAAAAAAGTTTTTTTTCAAATGTGTACATAGTATAGTTTTTTTGTATTCCCAGATTTTTCGAGATCGATCGACGAGTGATCGATTGATGACGTTTTTGTCCTATAACTATTGTCGTTTTACGCGCCACCTATAATACTGTTATAATATTATAATATAATGTATATATTTTTTTATTTATTAACAATAAAATGATCGACAACGAAACCAATAGCGGTGGTGAGCGTGTGTGCAAATGATTATTGTTTGACAGCTTTCGGGTATGGTCTAAAAAATAAACGGTTTGTGCGGGAAAGACGGAGACAGCGTAAGCTTTAAAAATCGTATAAAATGTTATTATTAATCACGATACACTGGCCGGCCGGGTCAAACCGGTCAGCTCGACTACGCACACGTCGTGTATTATTATGACGATCTCGCGATCTATATTGAATTCCATGAAAATAATAATAATAATATGAAGAAGATTTAAGTACGTCGTCGCAAAATACGGTCAGTTGACGAGACGTGGTAATATCATTTAGTTCCGGCCAGAAAAAAGCGGTGTGCAATAAAAAATCAAAACCGTAAGCACAAGTACGCAACGAAATTTGTATTTTCACGTATAACATTATAATATTACAACTGCGGAATCGATGCAATAAAAACCCCATAAATATACCTATGTGCGGTACGTTTGCGACTAAACATTAATACATGATAATATTATAATATGTTAAACTGTATATTATTAAAACGTATCGTTACACCTGTCAGACCGAGTTATGTATGGCTCGGGCATCTCGTATATATATATATATTATGAATTACGCGTTTAGGTATTTAGCTGTGCATACATCGTACACAAGTATAATAATATAATGTATGTAATATGGTTTTCGGTGTACACATGCAAACGCGTATGGATCTGTTTTTTTTTCGCGCCCGACCCGATGTCGATTTTCCGGACCGAAACGATTCGTCGTCGATATGTAGGTACACAAAAAAAAATCGTTTCTGCTTTTACCCGAAGCCCCCCGCCAGCGTCAATAAAAATAGTAATAATATTTTCATACCAATATACCTAAACGTGGCATCGGATATTTATAATAATATAATATTATGGCCGGAGAGGAAGACGCTCGCGGTCCAACCGCACATGTACCAGGTATCTATATTATATACGAATATAATAATATAATTTATTTTTACAACCGTTAAGTATAATATCATAATTTCGTATGGATACCACGGCTGCTGCATACACACACGCACACATAGATACAACGAGCGTGTGTATTGTGTGTATCATATTATTATTATTTGTACATCAGCAGTATACAATAATACTATAATGTACATGTTATTATAATGTGTCGGACATGCGCGCCGCACGTATCGCATTTTCCACGGTGAACGTTTTTAATAACGTGATTTTTTTAAATTTCATTTTTTAATAATCGAACAGCCATTCCGTTTTTCTTTGGGAAAACCAAGTTCATCGTACGTCAAGTGTATAATATACATCATTAAACGCACAACCATACGCATACTGATAACAACCGAACCCTGCAGGTGGCCGCTATAATTGGCGCGGGTCACTCTGTCTCTCTCCAAGCAGTTCGATGCTGTAGCTCAGATATTTTTGTAAAATTGTAGAGATTTTAGAATGACTGCACTCTGCACAAAATCTCGTGTGACTTGACGTAGGTAACGGTCTGAATTCGAATTTCTGTTTATCCGAGGCCGAGGTGAAGTCGGTTCGGTCGCACGAGTGACATTTTTTTTTATAACTGGCGCCTACGCGCACAACACGTGAACATTATTATAACGATAATTGCAGACGACAGAGTGCACAACAGTATTATGCATATTACAATATATTAGATTATTATGTATTGGGTAATAATAATTACCGTAGGTACGTATATAGACAGACCCAGTGCAGTGTACGACGGAAATATCCAATCACGTTTGTCGGTCGGACAATTATCGCTGTGCCGACGGAAATCGATTATATAGTAATAATAACAATATCGTGCACCCATTCACATAATATTTTATATATCATATAACTACGAGTACATAAATAGGAGGCATAATATGTAAGCGCTAGCGAGTCCGTCAGTGGGCCGCAGCGACGGCGATACACCCGCGGGAAGACACCGTTGTCGGACTAAAAATCCGATTTTTCTCCTGTCCTACTGCTGTAGTTTTGTATATTATTCGTTTCGAACGTTGCGCGAGCTGTTCCCCTTTCCATGTGTAGGTACATATATATTAATATATTATTATGTCCGTGAGTTTGATAATTACAATGTGTCATCGCAGTCGAGTTAATTTCGGCCGAGTGGTTAATGACCGCCGACGCCGCCCCGAAATGGAAAAGTACAATATTTGTTGTTGTTCGCCGCGGTCGCTTCTTCTCCTCGGCGCCGCAGCAGGTCTAATACGATCTATCTTATACGATTTATCTTTTCGTAATCATTTATCATCACTCGGTCGGGGACGGCCCCTGCAGTGGGTCTCAACAGTGCGTCGTCGCCGGCGGTCACAAGACTCTCGTACGCAGTGTAAAAAAGTCGTACGCAGAAATAACGATATCTTTGCCGCATTAAAGTCGCTATAAAACTCCCGCGACATGGTCGGTCGGTGACATCAATAATCTTCCGTTCGGCCCCTTTCGTCGGATCGCCAACACAATATCGTACCTATATTTCCGTACGCATTATAATATTATATTGTGAGAAGGAAACGCCCGGCCGACGATGTGTGCGAAATATATAACACTATAATTGTATAATAGGTACGATAAAATATACGAACGCCTTTTTTTTTTGGCAAAATATGCATTACATCATATACACAATACAATAGGTACGCCCTACGACGCCCGGCGCTTACTGTGTATATACCTACTAATAGTATCTCAGACAATTCACGAGACGAATATTGTGATTGAGTAAATAATATTATATAATATTATATTGTTTTGAAGAGACGGGACGAATCATCTGCTTATACCGTGTTCGAATTGTTCGCACATCGTTATACCCACAATGGATCTTTTATCCTGCAGTCGTGTAGCGGGAGTTGTACACGTTGTTTTCCCGTTTTTCTGCGAGTTAACATTATGGGAAAACGGGAAAACACTGTGCAGGCCCACCCTGTCACTCCACAATACCGCAGAAACACATTATCTAACATAATATAATCGCCTAGGTATTACAGAACGTTAAAAAGCATTTATGTATACACAATATAATATTATATAGATTCGTATACTGGTCGATGTGATCGGTCTGAGTCACAACCATTTTAGTTACCTCTGCGACGACGGGGGCCCTATCGTACGTATATATATACATATATATTATATATTATGTAATATGTGTATAAATAATACACGTATCGTACAAGACTAATATTGTTTTTGTTTAATGATTCAGGTGTCTGGATGAAAAGGACATTTTGAGGCCTCCTGAAGCGAAACAAATCATCGACCTGTGTATAATACGTCGGTGTGTATATGTGTATACTCACTCGCGCACTGCATACATCGTTAACGTTTAATTATTGCACTGGCGCCTTTATGTTTTCCCAAATCCATCCGTCCCACACAAGGCGGAGGCCCTCGACGTATTTGTTTTGCACCGGTTCGTATGTTATATTATTGTACACCGCCGTCGTCAGTGTTAGGTTAGGTATAGACAGGTATAATAGCGGCCTGTTTGCCGGGGGATGTCAATCCGAGCCACCGCACCGTGTGCTCCGAAGAGTTCAATATCACAAGTCCATCAATCAAACTTCGAAACAATTATAACGCTCGATAGTAGAACAATTGATTACGTTATGATTTATGATTACTCTTGCGGCTAATGAACATTCCGATTGTGTTTCTATTCTGTATGATGATACCTTATATACACACGACACATACAGATATTAAATTATCGTACCTATACCTACACATCATATAATAATATATCCACCATGTACGAAGACTGCAAAACAAAAATATATTCCCGAATAATATTTCCGGAACAGATGTAAAAAACGGTCGATCGTAAAGAATGTTCATTATTGTTCCGCAGCCGTTAAAATATTACGTAGGTATTGTTATTATATTTTATCAGAAGCTTTGCGGGGAACGTTACATTTTTGAAAAGTAGACGAGA